CTATCTATCTATTCGTCCATCCATCTACTTTTCTATCTATCTATCTATCTATCTATCTATCTATCTATCTATCTATCTATCTATCTATCTATCTATCTATCTATCTATCTATCTATCTATCTATCTATCTATCTATATATCTATCTATCTATCTATCTATCTATCTATCTATCTATCTATCTATCTATCTATCTATCTATCTGAGCTCATCCACCCATTCATCCATCATTTTATTCTTCTATCTGTGTATCACCATCTATCTATTCATTCACCCATCCATTTATTAATCCATGTATCCATTCATCCATCCATCCATCCACCCATCCACCCTTCTATCTGTCCACCTATCAATACTCTATTCATTCATCTATACATTCATCTATTCATTCATCCATATATCCATTCATCTTTCTATTTGTCAGCCCATACATCCATCCATCCATCCATTCATGCAGCTATGCATTCAGTATTTCCAGATGTTCATAAATTCATCCATCTATTCATCTTTCTCTTCATTCCATCCATCCACCCATTTATATATCTATCCATCCATACATCCATTTATCCATCCATCCATCCATGCAGCTATCCATCCATCATTTCCAGTCCATAAATCCATCTGTTTGCTCGTCTGTCCACCCATTTATCCAACCTTCTATCCTTCTATTTTTGTATTATCCATCTTTCTATTCGTTCATCAAATCCATTCATTCATCCATGCATCCATCCATCCTTCTATCTGTCAGTCCATCCATCACCAATCTATTTGATCATCTGTACATTCATCTATTAATTCATTCATCCATCCATCTATACATCCTTCTGTCAGTCCATCCATCTACTCATGAATTTATTTATTCTTCATTTCCACCTCTCCTTAAATCCCTCTATCTATACATCTTTTCATCTTGTCATCAATTTATCTATCTATCTGTCTATTCATCCAGATGTCTGGTCATCCATACACCCATCCATCCATCCCTTCGTTCGTTCATCCATCCATCTATCCCTCCGTCCATCCATCCATATATGCATTCATCCATCCACCCATCTTCATCTGTCTATCCATCCAGATGTCTGATCAATCATCTACCCATCCATATATCTATCCATTAATCCATCCATTTTCAGTCTGTCCATCCATCCATCCACCAATCCATCCATCCATGCAGCTATTCATTTATCATTTCCAGCTGTCCACAAATCTGCCTATATATTCATCTTTTCATCAATTCATTTACTGTCTATCCATCCATCAACCCCACCATCCATCCGCCTGGTCATCTATCCATCTATTCATATATACATCCACTCTATCTATCTATCTATCTATCTATCTATCTATCTATCTATCTATCTATCTATCTATCTATCTATCTATCTATCTATCTATCTATCTATCTATCTATCTATCTATCTATCTATCTATCTATCTATCTATCTATCTATCTATCTATCTATCTATCTATCTATCTATCTATCTATCTATCTATCTGCCTGCCTGCCTGCCTGCCTGCCTGCCTGCCTGCCAGTCTGTCTGTCTTGTCCATCCACCCACCCATCCATTCATCCATATATGCATCCATCCATCCATCCATCTATGCCTCTGTCCGTCCATCCATCCACCCATCCCTCCATCCATATATCCATTCATCTTTTTATCTTTCCATAATCCCATTTATCTATCCATCCAGATGTCAGGTCATCCATCCACCCATCCATAATCTACATATTAATCCATCCATTTTTCAGTCTGTCCATCCATCCATCCAACAATCCATCCATCCATCCATCCATCCATCCATCCATCCATCCATCCATCCATCCATATATGCATCCATTCATCCACCCATCCATCCATCCATCCCTTCGTCTGTCCGTCCATCCATAGACCCATCCATCCATCCATCCATCCATCCATCCATCCATATATCTATGCATCCATCTATATAACTATCCATCCATCCATTTATCCATCCATTCATCTATATATGCATCCATCTATCCATCCCTCCGTCCATCCATCCATCCATCCATCCATATATGCATCCATCCATCCATCCATCCATATATGCATTTATCTATTAACCCATCCATATATGCATTCATCTATTAATCCATCCATATATGCATTCATCCATATATGCATCCATCCATCCATCCATCCATCCATCAAACAATAAAATCTCCTTGAATGTTGATTCATCATAAAATTTTATGAGATTAAATTTCAGTATCATTAACACCAAAAAAATATCTTTATTAAAAATAATATTACACAAGCAAATAACACAATCCCCTCTCTTTAGAAGGCATCATTCATTGCATTTAAAGGCATCAGTAGGGAACATGGTTGCAGGTTTACTGCTGGGTGCAGTGAGCAGAAAAAAACCCTCCGCGGGCCATTTCATCCCACACATCCACGCTGTTAGATTTGATTGGAGCGTGTCATGCGACAGAGGCTGAGGCATTTCTGCTGCAGAGCTGCAGCTGCGCATGCATGGAAACGTTTTGGCACTAGGACCCAGCAGTCCTAGTGATGCAGACGGCACTTGTGCGTGAGTCAGGGCTGTTTTGTAACAGGGGAGAGACCAAGGGCCCTGCTCCCCAATGGCACTCACACACACACACTCAGCTGAGACCCAGGCACAAGATATCAATGAACAAGTGCTCACATGAGCAAACGAGCTCACATTGTGACCCGATAGTGTGATGGTGTGAAGAAAACACGGGACTAATGTCACAACAATCACATAAAAATCATTTAACAGACAACCAAAGGAAACACAGCAAGCGAACACAGCAGCAACACTTTTTTGATCTTGATATAATGGCACTACCTTTTTTTTGAATAAGAAACATGGTGTTCAAGGACACCATCAATGAAAATGGACTGCCATAGATCACGGGAGTCAGAATAAAGCATGAAAGCACACTGTGCTGTTCAGCGTGCCTATTGTTAGTTAATTATAGCTCAAACTGCGTCAATGCTGCATTGGGTTCGACCAGGATGAAGGCTTGTGTGTCCTTGGATGGACAGACAGATGGTGAATTGGGCACAAGATGACAGTGGAAACTGGCCTGAAGGCATAAATTGTTTATATCACAGAAAAAGTTATTTTGCTATGAGAAAACATGACCCCTGGATAGAGAGCTTATCTAGCCCCATAGAAAAAAAACACACTTGTCTTCAGACATAACTGGTCTTCTAGTCTTAGTTGTTATCCAAACCTGTTCAGGTTAGTTAAAGAGGAATCTTTAGAGGGGTTTTTATAAGGGTCTAAAAATGTAAATATTAGTGGGATTTTTAGATTTAAAGTTTTACATTTAGTTTAAACATTGAGCTTTACATTTTAGAATCCAATCCACCATTCTGAGAGTCTGGTGGGAGCTTAGCATAAATCATATTAGCTTAGCATAAATCATTGTATCTGATTAGACCATTAACATTTAGCTAAAAACATTTAAAAAAAAAGAAAAAACAATTTTCTTATTTAAAGTTTGAATCTTCTGAAGTTACACTGTGGACTAAGACAGACGGAAAATGAAAAGTTGCTATTTTCTGGGCCAAAATAGTCAGGAACTAAACTCTTTCTGGTGTAATAATCAAGGAAGTTTGCTGCCATATTATTATTATTTGGATATATTTATTCATAATTCATGATTACTAATTAAAACTAAGCATAAGGTTCCTAACCATACCTAACTTTTCATTTTGCATCAGTGTTTGTACACAATGTAAACACAGAAGAGTCAAGCTTCAAACAGGAAAATGATCTAAACTCTATTTGAAATGTTTTGAGCTAGATGCTAATGGTCTAATCAGATTCAATGAATTATGCTAAGCTAAGCTAGCATGATTTTTATCCCAGACCCAGAGATTGGCTGAATGGGTTTAAAAATGATAAAACTCAACTTTTTAGCTCTATTCATCCATCCATTCATCCATCCATCTATTTATTCATGATTTGAACCTGTCTATAAATCCATCTATCTATTCATGTTTTCATCTATCCATCAATCCATCTATCTGTCTATCCATCCACCCATATATCCAACCATCCATCCACCCAACCAACTATCTGTCCATTTATCTATTCATCTACCCATCCATCCACCAACTCATTCATCCATCTATCAATCCATCCATTCATTCATCCATACACCCATTTATCCATTCATCTATCAATCCATCCAGCCATCCATCCACCCATTCATCCATCTATCAATCCATTCACCCATCATTCCATCCATTCACCCATTCATCCATCAATCCATCCATCTGTCTATCCACCCATTTATCCAATCCATACATCCATCTATCCCCCCATTCATCCATCAATCCATCCAAACATCCACCCACTCATTCATCTAACTCTCAATCCATACATCTATCCATTTATGCACCCACCCACCCATTTATCCATCTATCAATCCATCCATCCATCCATCCATCCATCCATCCACCCACCCATTCATCTATCTATCCATCCATATACCCAACATTTCATCCATTCATCCTTCAATCCATCCATCCTTCCATCCACCCATTCATCCAACAATCAATCAATGCATCCATCCATCCATCCACCCACTCATCCATCCATCCACCCACCCATTCATCCATCTATCAATCCATCCATCCATCCGCTAACCTATTCATCCACCAACAATCAATCCATTCACTCATTCTTTCATCCTTCCATAAATTCTTTTTGTAACTCTAGGGAACTTAAAGTTGTAAAATGAGCCTATACAAACTAAACTAAAACTAACGAAACCATTAATCGAAACTAACTAAATCTAAACCGAGAAGTGCAGCTAAATTTTTTAAATCGTATCAAAATATTAACTAAAATAACCTTAAGGGAGCAGACCAAGAACAAAAACTAGAAATGTCTCATGCATCAACCCAACACAATCCTACGGGAAAACTACATGAGGAAAAGCACAACCTCCAGAACCAAAGGTGCACTTTAAATCAGAAACCGCTGACTTACCCAGCATCCCTTTGTTGGGCTCAGACAAGCACATGTCTTTTTCAGCACTGGGCAGAACGAAGCCCACCACAAAGATCTCCACGCCATCCGCCATGAGGGCCAGACCCAGCACAAAGTAGAGGGTCCACTGGAAGCGTCCGTGGCCGCACTCCTGCAGGATGGTCTCGTACTGCTGCGCCAGCTCCTCCTGGTCCTTCCTGCGCTCGCCCTCATACTGTGTCATGTCCCGAAACTGAGACTGTCCCACTGCGCCCACCTGCCGATCAGCCTTCTCCACCGAGTCATTTCTGGGGATTCCCTGATACTCGCCCTCGTAGATCTCGTCGTCTTCATCGTGGCCTTCTGTGGAGTCGCTGTGGGCTCCTTCATCATCATTAGCCCTGCTGTTACTGCGGTAATAGCTGCCGTCCTGAGCCTGGACGGGGTAGTCGTCATCATCGTCATCTTCTTCAAAGCGAGTATAAGAGCGTTTGGTGTATTCGTCGGTCATCTTGTCCACGTGGCGGCCCACTTTTTTCCCAGCATGCCTTTTGACTTCTTTGGCAATGTCCTTAGCGCCTTTGATGAAGGCCGATCGGTCTCTATATCCCTCATCCATGGCTGGAGGTTGTGCGTTGGTGGAAAGAGTGCTGGAGCTGGGTGTCAGGAGCTGCCTGTTTGCATGGGCTGGAGGAGTTCAGGACCTTGGACAGCAACTGCTGGAGAACAGCTCTACACGGCAGTCTGGAAACAGAGGAAAACAGAGGCGCTTATTTAGGAGGATATACTCTTTAAAGCATTTCAGATGTAACTGTTATCTTGTATGGTCAAATTACAGTGTAGTGTTCATTCATTCATTCATTCATTATCCTTCTGCTTAGTCCCTTATTAATCAGGGGTCGCCACAGCGGAATGAACCACTAACCAGGGTTCAACGCTAAGGATTTTTTCTACTGGTCTGATCGGGCCAGTGGTTCAGATTTTTACTTGCCCTGCCAAAATTTTCACTGGCCCCACCAAAAAAGAAAGGGAAGTTAATAGCTATTTTTTAGATACATATTTTAAATATAGTGTCAAAAATAAAGTCTCTGAATCTAGAATTTTAATACTTAATAAATTGTAAATAAAAGTGTTATGCAAACAAAAAGAGCAGTATGGAAAATGTGGAGGTATTTTATTGTGGTTTGAAATTATTTAACAAAGGGTGGCTGACTTGTCAAACTGACGGCAAACTGTGCAACTGTGTTTTTTTTTTTTTTGTCACGTTGTTCACACGTAAATTTCTGCTTTCAAGATGTTAGAAACAGATATTTTGTTTTAGCCTTAGAATTTGATGTTGCTGCCATGTTGCCATTTCTTCGCTGTACTGGTTGTTAGAAGGTTATGGAAAAAAATAGAATTCTCAATCAGATAAGAGGAACTGGAAAGCAATACAGTGTTTACGACATCACAGAGAAGGTAGTGTTCAAAGACTTAAAAGCAAGAACTTAAAATCCAAGCAATTGATAAATAGTCACAGACAAACTAAATGTTAGTGACAAGGCAGCATTGTCCCAATCGGGCCAGTAATGATCCGGTCTACTGTCCCAAGTGTCTGTCACGCTGGCCCTGGGCCACCGGGCAATCCTTATTGTTGAGCCTTGCTAACTATTACAGCATGTGTTTTATATATAAAATATTATATATATACATATATATATATATATATATATATATATATATATATATATATATATATATATATATATATTAGGGCTGTCAAAATTAGCGTGTTAACGCACGTGATTAATTTGAAATATTTGAGGCGTAAAAAAAAAATAACGCAAGTAACGCAGTTGCAGTTTTTTTTATTTCCTGTTGTGGCCGACGTGTGTTCAGGGCTGGCGCTTCCATACAGGCGATTTAAGTGGCCGCCTTGGGCAGCAGAATAGTGAGCGAACCCCCCAGTCCTCACATTTATCCGCTACACCCACCCCCTCCCTCACGGTCCTCGGCCTTCCATATGAATAAAATGGCGGGATTGCCGTTTGCCTAGAGCGCCAGTTCAGCTTGCTCTGGCCCTGCGTGTGTTAAACGTGTAAAGAAATATGCCGTTTCCTCCAGAGTTTCATGCAATTTCTGTTTCATTTTTAATATTTAGACTTTAACTGCAGTTCAGCAGCTTACTATCATTGAGCATATTTATTCAGGATGTTTTAATGGAATTTAATACTGCATGGCGAACGGAAAGAAAAACCTCCGCATTTCGGGACTCGCGTGGTCATTTAAGATAATCAAAAATCGCTGTTTACATGGTCGACTCTTGATCAGTATTATCTTAACCATCAAAGCTGAGTATTGGTGTCCATGTGAATGAAAGTACCAGATGAATTCGCAAGCTGTCAAAAACATTTCTCTGCCCTTACGCTGCCTCCCTCAAATGTTTCATTAAGTTTGACGTGTTTCCCCCTTTTGTAAAGCGTCTGCTTCACGTTCCTCTGTCAGAATTCTTGCTTGTTAAATCTAGCCATTCTTTAGAATGCTTAGTTTAAGCAAATTTGATAAATGCGATCATGCGTGTTGATGAATCTGAAGGGTTTTTACTTTAGTAATAAATAAGGCATTTCGTAATTAATCATGATTAATATATATATATATATATATATATATATATATATATATATATATATATATATATATATATATATATTATAGCAGATGTAAACGGGTCTTGCCAGTTTAACCCCAAACAATCAAAATGAACTATGGAACAACTACATCATGTAAAACCAGCTCCTACACACTGAGTTTACCTTTAGCAGGATTTTCCAGCAAATAATGATTAATCACTTTTGTGACAGGAGCAAGAAAATATTCCAAACAAATTAACATTCAATTACAAACGAGTACACGGAAAACAGTGACAGCAAGTAAAGAGGAGCAGTCGCTTGACCTTCAGTCCACTTTACATTCTGCAGGAAAACACTTCAGGAACCAGTCGAGCTCTGATTAAGGGCCGATTAAAATGTCCCCGAGGGAAATTCATAAAACCATCAGTCTGTGTTGCCTTGTACAATCTGTTGGAATTGGTCTGGATCCAGTTATTGCATTAATAATCTAATATACATAATTGAGGTGCATTAATAATATCTCAGGGCTACTTATGAGCTCTACAGCTCTGATAGAGATCTGTCTGCACACTCTTTCACTGCGCAAACTGTTCTGAAGAAGAGAACGTTCACGACCAGAGCTGGCCGTGACAACTTATCTTCCCTCACTGCAGCACGACCAAGAGCATAAGGTCAGTGATTTGATAGTCAAAAAGAGTAAAAATCATGCTTGAGCTTAGAATTTTCAGCTTTATTTTGTAAACTACCGATGACATTTCTACTGAATTCAAATGTTTAAAATAAAAATGCAGTCATTTGGAGTTTTTATTATGTTGCATAAAATAACAATAAAAGTGTCATTTGCAGAAATGTTTTCATTTATTTTTATGCAATATCAATCTTTGCTAATATGGAAAAAACCCTAAATTTTAATCACATTGTGTGGAAAGATTTGTTATTCTGACATCCACTCTGCATTTGGTAGAAATGTTATCAGACCATTATACAATAAAACAAATATTACCATTTTTCCACCTCTTAAAGTCAAATGCTATTTTGGGATTCCCACCTGGATTTTGCCTACCCAAATTTAAAAGCTTCCCGAATCCACATGCAAAAATTTGGAATCATTTTAAAGAAAACCCTTTGAATTTTTATGAAACACTATTGAAAGTGTTTAAAATAACTGTGTATGTTGTCTGTGTTATAACAAACATCTAAAAAAAAAAGAGGCACTTTTTGTATTTTTTCTAAACTCAAATTTGAAAGTGTACCTTTTAGGTCCTGTGTGGTTTACGTTGCTGTAATTATTACTTTTGGTGGTTCCTGCACATGTCTGTAATCATAGGGAAAAAGAAAAAGTTCTCTACCCTAATCTATGCAAAAGTTATTGTATTCCAACTGATGAGAGGCGCTATACAAGCCACAGGGATCGATCATTGTTTTCATATTTCACTATCCTTTTGTTTGATCAAACATAATTTAATGTGTTCGGACCAAGTCAGACATATAAAAGAATTACTTATGCGAATCACCTGTTTTGTTTTTTTACAGCGTAGAAGAGCATTGTAATATTTTTTAAAAAAACACTTTAATGAAATGGGTTTCAATAATAACACCAATTTTATAAAGTTATCTCCAAAAATAATGTTAATATGTGTATTTAAGCACATCGAAAACAAGAACTCCCACTTTACCTTTTTTGACTGTCTCTGCCTTCTGATATTAGCAATCTTACATTCAGCTTTAGTTTTCATCAATAATTAAGTCTAATCTTCATCATTTTTTGTATTACATAAATAACTGCATAAAACTTTCCTGTATTATTTGTAATTTCAGCAATAGAAAATACAGTGTTCCTGTCTCTCTCTCTCTCTCTCCGTGTGTGCAACTGAAAGGCTTAACTAAGGTAATTAGGCAAGCTATGGTAATTAGGCAAATCATTGTACAATGATGGTCTGTTCTGTAGACATTCAAAAATATATTGTTTAAGGGGGCTAATAATATTTACCTTAAATGGTTTTTTAAAAATTTAAAAATGCTTTTATTCTAGCCGAAAATAAAACAAATAAGACTTCCTATGGAAGAAATAATATTATAGAAAATACTGCAAAAAATTCCTTGCTTTATAAAAAATTATTTGGGAAGCATTTGAAAAAGGAAAACAAAACAGGAGGGCTGATAATTCTGACTTCACAATAGTTAAATAATTCATGATTCCCATTTCCAACACCTCTATTTCACCTCTTTTTTTCAACTGCACACAAATCTGTGTGTCTTTTCTATGTTCTGCTCTAATCTGCCTGCTCTTTTTCTCTCTGTGGTTGTGAACAGAGCTCATCAGCTGGACGTCTGTGAAGATAATGAGCCGGTCAGACATTTGGCCTTCTCAGTGACAGATTAAAAAAAAAGACAATCTCAGATATCAGCCGCTGCTCTTCTCAACACCTCAGCTTAATCCTGTCACACTATCGTGCCTCTGATGACTGAATACATGCAAACAAGGGCGACTGTAGGGCTGAAAAGGACATTAAAACAAACTGACAAGTTCTCCTTGTTACTCAAAGCAAACCCTGCACAATATATAATACAATCGTGCTGATATGGAATAAAATTCAACAAATGTTTTTAAATGTGCATTTAATTAAGGAATAATATACAACCCCAAATCAAAAAAAAGTGGGGATTTTATGGAAAATGCAAATAAAAAAGTAAGTAGTGATTTTCAAAGTCACTTTGACTAATATACTGCAAATTATACAACTAACATTATTTAATGTGTTTGTAACGTCTGGGGGGAGTGACACTCACAACAGAAGGTAAGATCCAATATGCAGGTTATTCAATGTCGTCAAGCAAGCAGTGGTCAAATCAGGTGTTAACAGGTATATGCAGGCAGTCCAGAATCGTAGTCGTATAAACAGGCAACAGGTCAAAAGGCAGGCGGCTAAACAGGAGAACAGTGTATACAAGGCTAGGGTCTAACTCGGAGAAACAAGACAGGGAAACGTGTTGTAATGTCACTAGAAAGCAAACAAGACTCGGCAAACTGGAAGGGTGAAAGAGTGGCTTATGAATGGTGTGATATCAGTCTGTGACAAGGTTCAGCTGGTGATTGCAATCAGGATAGATGAATGAGCATGGGTGTCTGGAAGC